TAAATAATCTAATTGATTGACTTGACTATTGGCATGACCCTCTAGTGATCAGTGCTAGAGCGAGATGTTTATGGTTGTGCTCAAGGAGTCGAGGTGAGTCGACAACCCTTCTCTTATGTGACTTGCATATTAATCGTGATTGAACTAGTCGATTCCGGTCTGCATAGACCGAAAACATAACTAAGGTTAGTTTGGATCAGGAAAGTGTCGGGTCCTTAGTATATATTCAATTCCCCATCAATAGTGTTTTGCGAGATAGTCCAAACAAATGAATTTATGAATTTTACAAAGTCAACTATTCGACTAATAATTTGGTTGCGGTTGTCTCAAGTTAAGTTATTGTACTGAGTTATTACTGGGAAATCCTCGCCTTGTAACCCTAACTAGCAAAAAATGACAATGAGGTAAATTAACATATATAAGTTACCTATAACTGACTAACTCAAGTAACAATGTAAATAATAAGTCGCTCCCACATGAAGTTAAACTTTGAACTTTGTGGTTATCAAACTAACAATGGAACTGAATTAGTTGAGGTTGACAGAATTAGGGAATATAAAATTAAGTATGAAATTGGGAGTGTAGGTAAAATTACTCTTTGTTATAATATATTGTACCTAACGATTTGTTGTCTGATACGTGATATACTATGCTTATTGTTTTGATTTTAATAAAATGGTAATACGGAATATTAGATTAAATTGGGTATCTTGGATGCTTGATGGGAGGTAGTGTGAAGCGCATAATGAATTGTGATAGAGGAAATTAAGGATAATGATGGAAGATTTAAGTAAGGTAATTAGTAGGGATTATTAGCGATGAAGGCGTAGGTTGTATGTCCTACTCACCACCCGGCAACCCTACTTTACATGCCGCTATCTTGTCCCCTTTCCCTCCTTGCTCTCTCCACCAAATTCCCCCTTTTTTCTCACTTTAGTCCTTTGACTTTTTCTTAATTTCTCTTCAATCCTTCATGACCAATTCTTTTACCTCCTCTCTCGTTTCCCAATTTCTCAACTTTATTAGCTGAAATGCTTTGCTGTTAGAAATCTGATGGTAATTTTGTCATTTTAAAGTTTAGTCTATAAGTTAAGAGCATCCACTATAAAGTCTTTTTCTAAGCTATTTCAGAATGAAATCTTCCAAACAAGGAGCAAAGTGATGTGGGAAGAAGTTATTCAAAAAAGAATTCATCTGTAAAAACAAGAAATAATGTCAGAATATAAAGAAAAAGCAAAAAAAAAAAGAAAAAAAAAAAAAAGAGACGTTGTGCGCCAAAGCCGTGCACGCGCCTGGTGGCGCGTCAGGCCCGCCAAACTTTCCTATAAACCTTTTTTTTTTATTCAGTTTTGTTTTTTTTTTTTTCTCTCCCCTCCCACATTCTCTTTCCTAATCCCTCTTACATTCTCCCCACTGATAAGGATGCTCTAAGTCCCATTGAAAAAAAATTGAATTTTTTTTTTTTTTAAATAATGATCCAATAATATTTGGTATAATTAGATTTATGGATAATTGCATTTTTCGTTTATAAGTTATAGGGGTAATTGTATAATTCGTCCTTGGGTGTTGGTCATGTACTCATGCTCATTTTTCATCCTTAAGTTATTATTGACGTTGCACTTTTCGTCACTGAGTTATACTAAAATTGAAAATTTTCGTCCCTAATGTTTTATTAGTAAAGGGACGAAAAGTGCAACGTCAATGATAACTTAAGGACGAATTCTACCATTACCCTATAACTTAGGGACGAAAAGTACAATTTTCCCTTAGAGATTTATCATACTTAAAAAAACTTGGGTGATTTCAGTTTTTTCAGATTAATCCTAAGTCCACAAGATCTCGTCCTTAGAGTCAATGTGAAGATAAATCACGATTCGCGAGTCCCTTAATCAATCTAGCGGTTAGATCATAGTTTTCATGTGTACAAAAGATCTCATCCAGACCTTATGGCATCCTTTGATTTTTTCCATACATGATTGGATTTTGTATTGTTTTTTTTAGTGCAAATTGCATTATATATTGTTAATAACACTAGAATATGTCATATTTAATACAACTAGATATGTCATATTTAGGAGCGTAAATGAATTGAATCGTACTTGAACCTAAGCAAGCTCAAGTTTGAATTCGAAATTAGTGGCTTAATTTTAACTCGATACTTTCTATAAAGTTCAAATTTCACTTAATTAACTTAAATTGAGCTCATTTTCAAAAAAAAAAAAAAAAAAAAAACTTAAATTGAGCTCAAGTTTTTATCAATAAGTATACTTTGACTGATCGAGTTTTGCTATGTATATGTATATATGTACGTAGAGGAAATTTCAATTTTGGGCATATGACTATAGGGGTCTTGTTAATTTTAGTCCCCGCCTTTTAAAATTGTCAATTTAGTACTTTAACTATGCAATTTTTATCAATTTTGGTCACTCCGGCCAAATTGTCGGTCAAATTCCGCCGGAAAATTTTAATTGTTAAAATAATGAGAGTATTTTGATCATTTCACGTCTCTTTTCTTCTTCCCAGGCGAGCCCATCCCTTCCTCTCCCGTTTCCGGCGAATGCAATGAACTAAGATGATGGGGAAAAGAGGCTTGATGATATTAAAGATAGGGTTTACAGGGAGAAAGAACGCCGGAAACGAGAGAGAAAGGGATGGACTCACCGGAGAAGAAGAAAAGAGGCGTGAAACGACCGAAATATCCTCATTATTTTAATTATTAAAATTTTTCGACGAAATTTGACCGGCAATTTGGCCGAAGTGACCAAAATTGACAAAAATTGCATAATTAAGGTACTAAATTGACACTTTTAAAAGTCAGCGACTAAAATTAACAAGACCCCTATAGTCATATGACCAAAATTGAAATTTCCTCTATGTACGTATGACTCATGAGAGGATTGATGAGTCATGAACCAACACTTTTTAAATTTGAGATTGACTTGAGTTCGAATTTAACCGAATTCAAATCAAACTTTAATTGAATAGTTCACGAATGATTAAAATCGTTTGCATCCTTATTCATTTTAGTTATACATACATGATACTATCTTTACACATACAAAATTTATAAAATTATAACACAACGCTTAGTCACAAAATTAACAAATTAATTAATTAATTATGGTTTGAATGAGAGACAGGCGTGATGGAGTTGGTGGAGCAAATTGAGGGGCAGGGATGTCAATGTACAAGAGGCATGTTTGGGTGTAATGAGTGGAGTTGTTGAACTTTGCTGCTTTCGGCTAAACACAGATATACCATCTTTTTCACCTCTTTTCCATCATTGCCCTACTCTTATCTGTGAATTCCTTTTTCGCCATCCTGGCCTGCTCGGCCGTGCTCCACCGTCATTAATGCAAACACCTCATCAACGGCTATAATATCACTACAACAAAAATTGCCTCATTTGCCCCAACCCTCCTTTCTTCTTCTCTCATTTTCATTTGTTTTCTTTTCCATAATTGGTTGAAAATGATTACCATCTCTTTCATTTGATAGGGTTACAACTTAGAATACAATTTATTTATTAATTGAGGAATATTTTTGTTTGCCTGCATGGACAGCTCAACTATTTGCAGAGGTGAATTTGTCACAAGAGACCAATGATCAAGTTTCACCTGAAACAGTATATGAGTAATCTCTCAAAATGAGAGGCTCAGCTTTTTGTGCGCAGTGAGCAACTGATGGCGATTTTACCTTTTTTTGTCTCAAACCTTTATTCCTAATACAATTTTGTCTTATATATAAGCAAATAAAAACAGTTAATACAAACCGAACTACCCTATACGACTATACTATCATGCACGTCTCAACACACATCTTTCGGGTTGTGTGATGTGCTTGCATAAATCTCCATGTAAATTGTACTTGCCTTTAATTGACTCAATCGTCATAAGTAAAAGAAGAGTCATAGTTGACTTTGACTAATGTAACCTATTGAGCCACAATTATGTCGCTTGACCAAGTTTTGAACATTTTTTTATTATTAATTTGATTAAATTTAAACATTAAAATTCTAATACTCCTATTGTTCTAAATAATATGAATTATATCATAAGAAATTATGTATTATTTGTTTAAAGAGTTAAAATCCAAAATAACTAAAGCATTTTTTTGTTAGATCACGATGTGTCCTAAGCACGGTTGCAAAAATCGGTCTAGGCGCCTGCCTAGCGCCTAACTCGGTCGAGTTAACTCGTTCATTTTAGTCAAATTAACCGAATTAATCCAATCGACTCAGCATTTCTATTTTTTTCATTATATTCTCACCTAAGCACATGTTCTCATATGATCCTAACTCTCTCTCTCTCTCTCTCTCTCTCTATATATATATATATATATATATATATATATATATATATATATATATTACACACACACCCACACATTTGCACTGTTTTTTTTTTTTTTTTTTTTTTTTGGGAGTTAGCTGCCTAGGCCGTCTAGGCGCTACTATACCTCCCGACTAACACTTAGCGCTTACTGCAATCCTGGTCCTAAGCATGCTTTTAACTGTATGAGACATTTTTAAGTTTGTACCATACTCAGACTAATCCTTGTTCACACTTGGCAAACCCAATTAAGGGGTAATGTGGTGGCCAATTTGATTTTTCTATACATGAGGAGTTCGAACTCCCGACCTCTTTTAAGGAACGAGAGTGCATTGTCACTCACGTCAACGGGTTAAAATAACCAAAGCATTAAATATAAAAATAAAAAATTGAACACCTTTTTTGGATTAGAAGGAATATCAAATTTCCATTTGCCCCATCATTAGTGCCCCATCATTAGGATTAGGAATTTAGGATTTTGGAACAACCTTGAACAACAAAGTCTGAGGGCTAAACATAAATAAAGAAAGGGTAGGGGGTAACGGCAAAAGAAATAAAATCCGTAACGGCTGGGATTCGCTTTTGGGGGTTCCACCAACTAACCAGACGGGTTTGTTTATAGGATTACGTCCGGCATCTGGTCCGATAATACGCGATAAAATAAGCCAACTTTCCGTTTTTGCCCCCATACTTTTTTGGTTTCTCCCCTTCAGCTTCTTCGCCTTCGGGTTTCTCGGCAAACACCTCTCTCACACTTTTGTTGCCTCTCTGGTTAATGGAGGGACCTTGACGCCTTCTTCTCTATTTCTCTCTATCTCTCTCTCTTTGATTTTCTTTCTCCCTTTCAGTGATTACCAGCTTCAATCTTTCAACTTCTTGTTGTAATCTCAAGGTTGGTGTTCTGGGTTTGCTCCCTTTTCTCCCTTTATGTTAATCTTGATTGTTAAACTTCATTTATGCTTGCTTTTGAGCTTTGCTCTTTGGTAAGTTGAGATCTTGGAAGATTCATTTCAGTTTTAGAGTGCTAGTCTGCTTAGACATTTATGTGTTTTCTTTTTCTTTGGTGGGTTCTTTCTTTGGTTTTGTAGTTTGATGTGATTTTTTATATTTTGGCAGAAGATTCGTTGACAAATTTTTAGCTTTATTAATTTTTTTTTGTATGTTTAGTTGCTGGAAAATATAAAAGCTACCATAGAAATTTGCGAGCTAACACTTTCTTTCTTCCTGTGTTTAGTTTTCCCTTTACTTTCTGTGTTAACTGTTATCCTCCTTTTGTTTGGGGGGGTTCTATCTCAGCTAGGAATCTTTTTGAAGGTATTAAAAGAATCACTTTTTGTGGCTTCTGTTCCATGTTCACTTTAATTTACATATTAAGTGCAGAAAGCATGTGGCTAGTTATGCTAAATGTTTTACTTAGCTGTATTGTGCCAAGGAAATCACACATGTATTTGTGGTGAATGTGAAATCATTGTTTCAATTGGATTTTTAGCACATCTGAATGATCTTACTGTGACTCTGTTAGTAGTGTGAATGACTAAACATTTTGGGTTATGGTGGCCTGTTTTTAGTTGGCAAGTGTTCTTTCTTCCTAATTATTCTTGGATCAAACAAAATGTTTGATTTTGATTTTTGCTAGAAATGGTTTTCAATTGGATAGCTGTCTTGCAAGTGGATATTGTTGAAGAAACTTAATGAATTGATTGGATTAGTTCCCTTTATGACTATTTCAGCAGGTTGAGAGACGAACTCGAGTTTTTATATGATATGATGTCCCCAACAATATTGGGTGAAGGGCAGGGTAATGGTTCAGTAATGGCTTCCTCATCAACGTTGGACTGCATTTCTCAGACGGGCTCGGCACTAAAAGAGCGCAACTACCTAGGTTTGTCTGATTCTTCTTCAGTGGACAGCAGTGCGGCCTCCGGTGTCGTGAATGAAAAGGACAGATTGAATCTTAAAGCTACAGAGTTAAGGCTTGGTCTCCCTGGATCTCAATCTCCCAAGCGAGATTTAGAACTTAATGGGCCAAGCACCGGAAAATTTGATGAAAAGCCTTTGTTTCCTTTGCTTCCTTCAAAAGATGGAATCTTTTCTTCTGTCAAGGCTTCTTTCACTGGGAACAAAAGAGGATTCTTGGATACCATGGAAGGCTCTGTGACCACTGAGGCAAATTGGATGTTTACTATTCCCAAATCTGATTCTCACACTCCTCAGTCAGCTGGACAAGGAAATTTTGGTAGCAGTGCAGGGATCAAATCGAACGTGCCTCAGACTAATATGAAAGACAAACAGTTGAAAGCATCACAGGAACAGCCTCATGCAACCAATGCAACAGCTCATAACAAAATGAGTTCTTCTAACAATGCCATCAATCCACCCGCTGCTAAGTAAGTGTCTGAAAGCTGAATAGGAACTTTCTTTTTCATTTTTTATTCTCTCCTTCATGTGGTGGAAGGAAAGAGAAAGGGGCGGAAACCAGCTTGGTTGGCATGAGTGGCTGTGCACTCTCATCCCTTAAGAGAGGTTGGGAGTTCGAACCCCCTCTCGTATGGAAAAACCAACCTGGCCAGTACTTTGCCCCTTAATTGGCCCGGCCCGGTGCGAATGGGGATTAGTCTGAGAATGGTACGGGCTTAAAGGTGCCTCCTACAGTTAGGGTCTGCTCAGGACACCTCATGGCCTGACCAAAAAAAAGAAGAGGAAGGGGCGTATGATAAGAGAGGAAATGTTGCTTAAATACATTTTAGACACTAATGGATATTGACTTGACATCGTCCTGTAGGGCACAAGTTGTTGGTTGGCCACCTATTAGATCGTTTAGGAAGAATGCACTGACCTCCACCTCAAAGGTTAATGATGAAGTTGATGGAAAACCGGGCCCTGGGGCTCTTTTTGTTAAAGTGAGCATGGATGGAGCTCCGTATCTAAGGAAGGTGGATCTTAGAACTTACGCCTCATATCAAGAACTTTCTTCTGCACTTGAGAAGATGTTCAGTTGCTTTACCATAGGTGAGCTATTTCATCTTTCTCATCCACCGGTTTCAATATCTTCAATTCGAGATGTCTCAAATTTGTGTGATCATTGTCATTAAGGTAGATCATTTTGCATGGTCATAGTTCTACAACTCTGAACTAACTCTTTCCGTTATTTTACTCTTGTTTATTTATCAGGACAATGTGGATCCCAAGGAGCTCCGGGCAGAGAAAATTTGAGTGAAAGCAAGTTAAGAGATTTCCTTCATGGATCAGAATATGTGCTTACATATGAGGATAAGGATGGTGATTGGATGCTTGTGGGAGATGTCCCATGGGAGTAAGCTTACCTTTCTCAACCTATTACCTATTTTATCATATTTGAGTTCTGCATATTAGTCCGGGAAATTATATTGTTGGGATGTCTAAGGTTGCCTGTGTCTAAAACAAAGTGTGCATGTAAAACTTTTGACCACTTCTATGAAATTATTATGCACAAAAGTTCATGTTTTGTGAACAGGAGGTAAAAAAAAAAAAATACAATTAGTTTCTTTTGGTCACGGTGATGCCTTAAAAATGTCATCATAGGCAAAATTTGTTTTCTAATTGATGATTTTGGCGTATTAGCTGGAAAGGATTTTGCTTAACCTGACAGTGCCATTTTTGCTTGATGAAATAACAAGAATAGCATCCTACCATGATCTGTTTTTCTCTGCTTTTATGCTTGATGTGTTATAGTTTGAGGATTTATGATTCATAAGACATTTACTGCTCAAGAATGACGTGTAAATTTTGATGAACAGATAGTACAAAACAGATGCCCACTATGATATCTGGACTTAGTTCAGGCTGTAGGTATTAGTCGGTAAATCTAATTCCTGGAGCTACGATTGAATTCTGCTGGAAATTTCTCTTATTGACACTTAAATCTTTTATGCTTTCCCCTTATATTTCATCCTTAATTATGGATTCAAACATAGTTAAATCATGCAAACGATGTTCTCAGGAAAAAAGTTAAAGTACTGTGCTCGTTAAAACATGACTGGTTCTGTTCCTTTATTATTATTTTTAGTAATTTAAATTTAAAGTGCCTATCAGACTCATTTTCAACTAAACATTCTATAATGATTTTGATTTTGCTTATTGCATTTCGTTTTCCATTTGCCTGTGCACCTATGCTAACCGATGGACTGCTTCTACTACAGCATGTTTATCGAGTCCTGCAAGCGATTGAAGATCATGAAAGGCTCTGATGCTATTGGATTAGGTTTGTTTTGTTTGTTAATTCAATTATTGCTGCTAATTAGAACGGTTTTTTTTTTTTTTTTTTTTTTTGAGATTTTATTGTTCAAGCGCATACTATTTGCCAATTGCCATCATGATATTATGCATAGTAGTATAACCATACTCGAACTTGATTATTATGATATAAGCACTTTTTGAAGCAAAAAAAATAGCTGGATAAGGAAACGCAATGCACGAGATCTTTCTTCTTTGTGCCCACAGACGATATAAGCTTTTCAATCTCATTCTTGTACTTTGCAGCTCCCAGGGCGAAGGAGAAATCCAAGAGCAGGAACTAGCTCCTGCTCGGGCAAAGTGACAGCTTCTCGAAACCCCCCAGCAAATTGCAAGAGTAGAGAAGTGAGCGAGGATTTGTGATGAGGAATGAAAAGCGGATGGTTTGGAGAGTGGAGTATAGAGCCTTTGGTGTTCCTGTCCATGCATCATCGACTACCAAGATGGACATAAATCTCTGTTTGTTCGTTCCCGAGTCTGATTTATTTTAGTATCTTGTTGCGTTACTGAGAAGGTGTCTTCGTAATTAATACGTCTGTATTGGAACACACTTTATGTATGAAGTGGTTTGAACAATGACATGTGATTAGGAGACTTTGTAGCAATGTGCTATGTGGTTTGTTGGTTATGTCTGCTGTTTATGGTTGTGAATGTTGAATGTGAACCAAAGTTTATAGCAATCTCATGTGTTTCATGTGTCTATGCTTGTTGAGCATATAATATAACATAAATATCAACTATCAGCTTAGGCTTTTAGTTGAAATAGAGCACATGCTTCAATTTGATATCAGAGCCATACCAAAGGTTATGAATTTGAATCTTCGCGGGAGGGGACAAATTCTGCAGACACAACAATTCAAGTTAGACTTATAGAACTTTTTTCCAATGAGACATACTTTAAATCGAGTTACTACTGAATTTCATGTTGGAGAGTTGTATATCTTTTGGTTAATGATAAGATTGTTGAAAATATGAGAGCAATGTAATGATGATAATGCCCTAGTTTACAGCAATAACTAAAGTACTTAGGCTTTTGCCATTTCAAATAATACATGATTAAGTGGGGTTTAGTGGTGTGAGATATGAGATTGTATTTTTATTACAGAATTCAGAAACATGTAGAGGAGTTGAAAGTGCAGATTGGGTAGTAACATGGGATGCACCAGAAGAACAAGCAAATCCATATGTATATTGACTTTAGCACTGGGGATGAAGATTTAGGGCATGATTATGCAGCTACCCAATCCCTAAAATTTTCAAATTAATAGCTAATGGAGATTGTTTAATCAATCAATAATCAAGATGATTAGGTCTATGACCACTTGCTGTACTCCTCCCCACTTTTTGACAGCTATTTTTGATGGTTACTGGTTTAGACCTATCCACCCACCCAAACAAATGACAAATCTTGGGTTAAAAAAGTGAAATTCTTCGTCCTCGGGACCCTATAGTCTAATCTTACAGGGATTGTAGAAGAATTAAATCACGGTGACTCATCAGCTTCTTAGGTGGGAGGACCCGCCCAGAAGCTGCCGAGTCACTCACACAAGAGGTGAAATTATCTCACTCTGACTGTCCGGACTCAATCTTGCGTTCTTGGGTGCAATATTTCATCCAGAAACAAATTAAAGTTACCCGAGGGCAACAAATGACAAATTTAGGTGATCAAGTGGGTGGAGAATGAACTTTATACCTGAAAGTTACAATTTCAATTCTTACCAACACCATCAGTAATGACTACGACGAAAAAAAAAATGACAAATCTACTGTGCATGTGCCCATTTTGCAAGCAAGTTGCCAGTAGTTTCACAGCCATCCTAATTGCAATCCAAGTTCAAAATTTTCACCTTGCCATTTCAAGAAATGACAGAGAGCCTTATAATGGTGCTTTTGAACCTTTTCATCCTGCAAGATTCACTTGTATCTATCATATCATGATTATGAGGGCTAAAGCTTACTGTTACCCTTGTGAGTTAGTGATGTGTGCATTGGCATTTAGCTTTGCACCATTTAGTGTGATGGTTTTAGAGGCTAATTTAATGTAATGGTGGCTGCTAATCATTCTTGAATTAGTGTAATGCTTAATCATTGCCAACTGCATTATAAAGTAATTGCAGGAGTAATGCTCTAATTGGACTTTCTCCCTCATTTTCATGATGATTCTTGTGTATATTTTCTTCTTAGCTTAATTGGTTTCATAATTTGAATCAGAATAATATCATATGTTTGATATCACCGTCAAAAGAATTATGACTATTATTTTTAGAGAGAGTTCATTTTCTAATTATTTGGAGTAGAACAAAGAGCAAAGTGAGAAACTATCAATTAAAGATATAAGATAATTGGGGTATCCCTAGTCAAGTAAGTCGAACGATTGACTTGGTAATAACAAAGTTATAAGCTCTTTTTGAAATTTGAAAAATTTACTTTTCTAATTTAGATCGAGTGCCACAATTAACCTTGAGTTGTATAACTACATTGGAAAAAGACTTATACATTGTTTCATATTTTATTTTCTCCAACATCTGGATTAGACTTTTCGTTAAACTATCTCAAATTAAACTCCAATGGGCTTGTTGATGGGCCATTGGGTTGAAGTCATTTCTTATAACCCTAACAATATTTATCAACTTACACATACAAATAACTTATGTGTTATCATACTAAGAGCATCGTCATCAATGTTTTTGGTGAAGGAGATAAAGAAGATGAGAGAAAAAGTTGATGAGCTTATGCAATTGTAAGTGTTTTGTGGGGTCCACTAGAAAACTATAAAAACAAGAACAAAGCTCCGTTTGTTGCGTGTTATGCGCACCATATGTGCTCAGCCAAGCGCGTAAATCATCATTTTTTTGACAGAATTTTTCTTTCTTTTTCTGTTCTTTTTTTTTTTCTCTCTTTTCTCTCTTCTAGTTGGTCTATCAAAAATCAAGGAAAAACTTTGTCTATTTTAATATTGCTCTAAGTCTATTTATATCTATAACAACTTTTAAATTAATATATTCAAAATATTAGAAACTTACTAAATTATGTGATTTAAGCTTTAAAACCTTTAATCCTAGCTTAATTTCACAATAAATGTTGGGATCCTAAGAAATTTTCTAATTCCTAGTCGATAAAGGCGAAATTTTCTAGCTCTCCAAATATACAGAATAGTGAAAGAGTAAATCACTATGAGAAAGTATATGGACAGATACTACAATGTAATAGAGCTAGTAGCATTCAAAAAAAAATCACTATGAGCTTGTTTGGTTATCAGCGCTTAGTGGTTAGCGGTAGCGGATTGTATTAGCGGTTATCAAATAGCGGATTATATTAGCGGGTTTGACCATCGAATTGTATTAGCGGTTTGTAAAAAACGTTTGGTAAAATTAGCTGTTTAGATTAACGGTTAACACGTAAAATGACCAAAAGGGTAATAATAATAATAATAATAATAATAATAATAATAATAATAATAATAATAAAATTAAAAAAAAAAAAAAAGAAATATAAAGTAAATGGAGGCGTTGAGCTTCCCTTTTTCCCCATTAAAAAGGGAAGCTCAACGCCCCTTATTCATTCCAACCAAACAAAAATTATTAAACAAAAAGTTAGAAAAAAAAAATATTGAATTAAGGGTGTTTTGGGCAAAAGCCCAAAACGCCATTCTAAAACGCTGCACATAGCAGCGTTTCAGATTTTGGCGGTTTGGAGCAAATCTGCTGTTTCAAACCGTCATTTACCAAACATAGTTTTCAGCGTTTTGACATGGTCAAAATGATGAAAACGACGAATCCGCTAAAATTTTGACGGATCCGCCAATAACCAAACAAGGCCTATGACTCAGGATCTATTAAGTGGGAAGATTAGTACTTGATATTCACAAGGAGCCTGCCACATTAATATTGTGAGGCTTAATCACATGTCTTTATCCACAATCTACTACTCAAGAACTAACTGAAATATTGATACCCACGATAATTTTCCCATTTCTAGACTTCCCTTTTGATCACATATTGAAGATTGAAGGTTGATATGGAAGTGTGTTGTTGACTTGTTGCCATTTGACAGGCAAGTACTAAGCTAGCTAGCACACAGCATTAAATTGAATCCAAGTACTCCTCCTGTCAACCAATTAATGCTTCAATTCAATGTTATATGTCCTCTAAAACGCCACATTGCACGGCTCAACACCGGTTGTTTCATTTCACTACGTTGCAACAATCCCTTCGACCAATTGCAATCAAACCACTTGGTTTCTATCTCTCTCTTCTGCGACCACCCCATTTATGGGCTGCCCTCCTAGCTGGTTACTATATTTATGCTACATCGACGGCTTCCGGTCAGACGTGGGCGATAAGCCTGTTGATCTAACCGGTTACCGGGTCTCTTTTTCGGCCTTAAAGGCATTAATCATATCACTTACGTCACTCCCCCATCACCTTTTTCAGCCATCATATGATCATTAGACATTTGGCACAACAGTTATGATTGGCCTAATTGGCATCCAACATGTGTAATGGTACAACTTACCAGACATGCTGGTAACTCGGCATGTTTGTCTCGTCTCACCTATAAAAGACGCATTAATTGCTAGTAGGAGGGACTTTTGACTCTTCTAACATCCTCGGACACCTCCGAACATCCTACATTCCAAATACCAACCTCATCTCTACGAAGAAGGATCATTCTAGTGCCCGATAAGAATATCAAAATCTCATGTACTGTCGAACATCTAAATATTTGTTATATCAATACTTCTACAATATTATTGTCTTTTAGTAGATAAGAGAGGATTAAAATTAAATGAAGTATGATGGTAGAGTGAGAATGTAAACAAAAAAATCATGTAAGATTTTAATGTGGAACCAAATTAGTGAAAGCTATATGTTTTAGTACGAGGTGTGAAAGTTGCATTAGAGTGGAGCTTGAATAATGTTGTAATACATCAATGAATTGTAAAAGGAAGAAAGTGTTCCTCTCATAGAATTGAATTCCTTTCAAAAAAAAGAAAAAAAAAAAATCAGACCCCACCTTCGTATTGATCAAGACATGAATTAGTCGAGCCCATTAAAAGATCAATTCAGACGGTTTACAGTAAATTATACCGTGCACCAGAGTGCACAATGCATTGTATGTCCTAATCAAAACGACATCATTTTGTATCTGTTTTTCATTTCTGTCGTTAATTTCTACAAAAATTCCCTATTTCAAATGTACAGAATCGTATAGTAAAATACACACAAACTCCTATTCTCTTAACATAATACATAATACACATAATCTTTTAACATAATACACATCAACTCTTATCATAATACATATAAACTCTTAATTAACATAATATACATAGACTCCTTAACATAATACACATAAATACAAGTGTTTAAAAAAAAAAAAAAATTTGTAACTGGATTGGACAGACGGAACGGTGTCCGTCACATCAACTCCCCACCAACTTGTAAAAACGTCATCGTTTTGGACCAGTACGCACAATACATTGTGCGCCCTGGTGCACGATATAACGATCGACGATTTACTCCGCCTTCAACTCGACTCATCATCAATCATCTTGAACACATATTCCAAACACTATTAATCCATTCCCGGCCCATCCCCGCACCAACTCATCATCACAAAACCTTAAATAATTCCGGTGGTCGACGGTGGCCATCTGACACGGACCTTAATTTCTCCTATTTGTCTACTTTAACGTTA